CCGCTAGGGCTTACGTTGTATTGAGGAATATTTGAAATGATTTCCATAATCATATTTCATAGTGTCTCAATGCGATTCACCTTATGGGGTATCTTGATTTTGTGCCGCCAGCTAAATCTTTTTCTCCTTCTCTTCTTTTATTTTCTCTTTTTTTTCCAAATCATTATTCAAACGAAGGCCCAAACGCCATCCTTTATCTGTCACAATTATCCCCTCATTTTATTACTAGGTCAGCATTTTATTCTTTCTAAATGCTATTAATCTTAGATTCCTTTGAGTTCATTCAGGCTATACTGAACTTTCAATAACTTAGAGAAACCATTATCTCTCTTGTTTTCATGGACTTAATCCTGAGGACTTATCCATTCTCGTCGCCTTTTCACTTGCCTTTCCTCAATCTTACTCATATTTTCTTAAAACTTTGTCGCTCTACCATACTTTAGCTTGCGACCTATAAATATCCATTTATATTATTCGCAACTTTCCTTCAACTTGCTTGCACCATAGATTTCCTTATGTTATTTTGGAATGTCAAGCGATACATCATATCGTCTCCAACTCTTCTCTATTCTCTTAACTATATCTCTCAGTACTTAAAACCATAGGTTGGAAGACATGTCGCTGACGATGCCGCTATCATTCCCGGTTATTGGATCCCCGTGCTTATAGCCTTCTATCCGAAGTATGGACTATTCACGATCTTCTGTCTTTAGGTATTTCGTACGTTGTTCACCTTTACCTTACTTACCTTAAAATCTCGAATCGTATCTTCTATCTCTTTTCTGACCTCCCTTCCACCTAGGTGTAATTCACGTTCATAACTTGAAGCTCTATTATAATACTCGCACCTCTGGTACATACACAATCCGGTGGGAGCTTCGTACTGACTTCTTATGAGGCTGGTATTTCTTCTAACTGGCTTCCTTGTAGAGCCATTATAGATTATGGTTATTGTGTTATTTCTCTTGAACATTTGATATTAAGAGTGATTCTGTCATGTTCTCAAGCACAACTTCTATAATTTTTCTAGGTCCAATAATCAGACTCCTGATTTACTTAGTTGATGTAATTCTTTAGTTTCCTCTCCTTCCGATCATCCCTTACGTAGGCTTAAGCTATCTTCCGATCTGTGACTCATGGTATCAATTATTACCTTAGCCTGTCATGGGCATTATGGAATATCCATGATAAAATCTTCTAACAATTCAATTCTTTGTCTATGCCCTGGGCTCAATTCTTTCTTTTAACTTATACCGGAGTTTTCTATGGCTGTATGATTGTCAACAAATATGCTGCCTGGATAATGCTCCAAAATTTGGAGTGTGTCCATAACGTACTAACTCTGGATCATTGATCAAATAATTCTTTTGTTCCATCTTAGCTTTCTTTCAATGTAAGCTATTACTTTTCCTCATCTTTCTGCCCCCTTGTTGCGTCCATACTTAGCTTATCTTAGTGCCCACACTTGCCAGAGTTTTCATATAACTCATATGATTTCGAATATTACTTTTAATTCTTACTTCCCGTTTATTAGCCACGGTAGGTGCCACTTTCCTTTGGAATGCTTACAATGTTGTTGTGAGACTGTTGTTACACGATCATTTCCTCTTTAGGTCGTTGTGCTTATGTTGAAGCCTTCTTCCTTATTTCCTCAGCTAGTCTTTCGTTATAGTACTTAGGGAGAACCCTTGACCTTTGTAAAGATGTGAGCTTATTATATTGTATCCCCGATAGAATTCTTGATGTTCGTCCTCACTTGTAATTATCCTTAGTTACTTACCTCCACACTCATCTGCTCGTACGGCTTCTTTTGAACTGAAGTTTTTGACTGTCTTCGCAATGGCACTTTCTTTTATCCCCGTAACACTCATACGGTACCTTTAACTACCCCAAATCCTACTTGAATATTTTTTTCAAGTGTTACAATGTCATAATTGTGGGGCTAAATTCACTATATTGGGTTTTACTATCTTTATCTTGCAAGACCTGCTGTCTTGTTCTGTATCCTCTTGACTAGCCATAGCTAGGCTCTTTCTGGATCAACTACTAACTACTCGTTGGCCCATCCTCATGTCAATATTCCGCGAAATCTTTCTTGGGTTATTTCCTTGGTCTTAACTTACGTCTCGCTCCTTAATTATCAATAACATCTCGGGCAGGAACCCTTACTTCTTCTCCTTGATGTCGTGTTTGCATAATGTTCTAGAATCGTAGCGTATCTGTAGCTTTTGGATAAGTGCAATCTCAGCCCTTTCTTATTTTTATCGCATTCTTCCTTTTTATCATTCCATATTCCCCCCTTTAGGGGAGTACTAAGAGTTGGAGCTACGATGACCTGCCTATAGATGTCTCACCCTTTCATCTCCGCCGTTCTTTTACATCATCGATGGCCCTTACTCGCCTTGCGGTAATCCTTATGTAACAAGGGTACAAAATTCTTTACTCACAATGGTGACACTTGGTGTAACTGGCACATACATTCCCTTAAGCTTAACTTTGTTCCCCTTGCTTGCTTTAGGGAAGCGTCTTCTTGAATGATCATTCTCTGAATTTCTCATGAATCTTCTTTTGTCGTCCATTCTATTATTAGCGGAACAAAATCTGAAGTTCTTATGATGGCGACTATCACCAGTCACTTAGTCCCTAATTCATGTTTAGTTTATCTTGTTCACCAATCCATACTGATTCTATTACTCTGGGGGTTTAACTTTTCCTCTTGGTAATCACACTAGAGTTGCGAATTTATTTCTTGAAATGAGGACATGATTGTATGGAAAATACTCTTTTGTTTTCCTAAGGCCTGTCACTTCTCGTTTCTTCCTTCACTTGACTATAGATTTTGTAACATTGTCATCTTTTGATATACCGTTGTCATCCATGTACCACATCTTACTCATAATGCTTTATTAACTCTTTTCTTATTTCCCGCTTACATTTATGCCTATCATTTTATTTTGGAAACTTGAACAAGACATTCTTTTGCTCTTAGCTTCCATTTGCTCTATCCAATGGCCATTCAAGTTGCTTAATTTTCTCGCTTTACTAGGGACGCGAGCCATACTAAGGTAATGTTTATCCCTTAAAGGCTTATAGTGCATGTCTTTATGGTACTCATATGTGACTGCACTATTTCAGAGTGCACCATCTGATGTCTCATAAAGAGATCTATTAGCATATTTGCAATATCCTTCGGAAATGTCAACTGACGCAAACAATTCGTCCATCATATCTTCTTATACTACTTCTATTAATCCCAATAGGGCATATCTGGAATGGGTGCGACCAATTGTATATACCTTTGTTACAGTTGAATATAACTCGAAAATCTTATGTTCCTCTGCCTCATTATAAACGCTGTTAACCTTCATTAACTGGGCGCCTCGTACCCTTCTTCATCTTGCTTCTTTTACTTGTTGATACTTGTCTTTATGATCTTAATTTGTCGTCGTCTTTCACCATAAAGATGGATAGTCATTCTTTCCTTATGGCTTCTTATCAGGAAGCTTACAACTTTCAATATACCCATGATTTGCTAAAGACCTCACATTTACTTATCATAGGCATTATACAAAAATCCAATTCCTCTGACTCAGCTCGTCCACAACTATCTCTCTTTCCAACCTTCATTCCGGATGTAGGTATCGTCTTATTACGAATAAAAAAAATTCAAAATTTGAATTCTTATAAGTGAGCTCTACCACACAATCTAGAGAAAGAAGAAAGAGTGACAATCCTAAATACCCTGTAGCTTCCTCCTTATAAGTGTGGTGCACGACACACCCATAAACAAGACTCTACTAGACACGGCTTGTAGACTCCCTAGGACAGAACTGCTCTGATACCACTTTTGTCACGACCCAAACCGATGGGCCGCGACGGGCACCCGATACCTTACTCAACCGAGTACCACCGTAACGTATCTTTCTTGTTACATCATCATATACACGTGACACACGGGCCTNATTCCCATTTCCAGCAATAGTGTGTGTTCCCTGAATGCCATTCGTACCTCCAGATAGATGCTCATGATTTTCACAAGCAGATGAAGAAACATGTCCTGACTCACGAGGTACACTCTCATTTTCAGCCAGCAGTTTTGCATTTCCAAGTTCTTGGGGAGGGGTTTCCTGATCAATTTTCAGGGATGAATTAATCAGTGCTCCGGAGACTATTTGGGAACTATTTGGATCGGCATCACCAGATATATCTCTATTGTTAGATACTATTACTTCTGTGGGTATCAATGCTTCATGCTGCAAAACTGGTTGTGTCGTCTCAATATCATTTCCTTCTGATGTCTTGGTAAGAACCATCGGCTCTGGACACTTTAGATTTGCTGTCTCACCTAAGGAATTCAGTCCATCAGTTTCTACTAATGAAGTTTCAGATAATTGAAGGGCTTTCAACAGCTCTGCTTCTTCTTCAATATCTCCTTTTCTGGCTGTATGGTTATCGGTAATAGAAACAGGAGAATCTTCAAATGATCTCCCTCTCGAGAGGCATGGAGAAGGTACCCCTAGTGCTGCAGTTGTAGCAGCAGCAAAATCAACATCATCATCTTCAGAACTTTTCTTATTCTCAGTGTCCATATTTTGGGTTTCAAGGGCAACAAGCTCCCCCATCAAAGTATTATACGACTTTGATCCAATTGCATTTGCAGTATCATGATCCTGGAACAAATTGATAACTCAAATAAATAATTCACTTTAAACAAAAGTTGCAATAAGGTCTTGAATCTTAAAACTAGAAACAACTTTTAGGGCAAAATGGTCAAAATAATGCAGCTTCATCGGGAAAAAAAAACTTATCCTTGATGCAATCTCAGTCTTCAATACCATATGTTATACACATCTGAGTAATAAAATTTAGAAGGTTTTCGAAGGCCAAAATGAGTTGTCCAGCATTCGACCAAACTAGAATAGGACATCAAGAAGTCATTCCATTCGTGGATAAAATAGAGATATATTATAAATATAAAACGAATATTGATTTAGCAATTAGAATCTGCGACAAGAATGTCCTCGGACATTCACGAGTGCACTCAAAGAAAGTAGCCAAAACTGATACCTGTGGATCAACTATCCAACCGTGATAAAGTGGAATATCCAAAAGATCAAATATTGCACATTCACGAGTGAACTCAAAGTCATCAATTCTGGCAAACAAGACATGTATTTAATCATTTGGATGGCAAGAATGGTTTATGAATCTTGCAAAACTTCTCTTCCGGGTGGCATGAATGAAATAGTTAGCATTCAGAGAAATTATGTATGCATCCTTAAGCTTACGCAAACCAATTTGTAGACCAACCACATTTCATACTTTGTTTCATTCATTGCATCACCTAATTAACAGTCAAGTCTACTTTATAGGTAAGAAACCACATCTGAGAAACTTTATGTAAAATAGATGATGAGGAGAATAGTGTGGAACCTTCTCTATCAGATCCAAGACATCTTGGTTGTCTATAAATTCAATGTAACTCCAATTGATTTCCTCTTCCTGATATTTTTCTTGCTCCATCTTGAATACATGCTCATTAAAATGTTGCTGAAGCCTTTTATTTTTCCAAATTGATGCAGAATTGCTCAAAGGTCTTACTTTTGGTTGCCACCTATTTGTAAATTGTAAGTGTCACAATCTCCCTTAAGGCTAGGCTGCCACGTGGTATGGGTGGAAAGAAGTTTAATCTTATCCAATTTATTAGTTAATCGGTAATCTCCCGTTGCCCGATAATTAATCAATTATCCGAAAAATTGAGAATTATTTCCATTTACTTAAAATATTACTCACTTTTAACATACCTTGTACACCTTACTATCATGGCAATGTAGTATCTTGTATGGTACTAGCTAGTCCATAAATAACGGGTATTTTAGCTCGGACCGTATTTTATCCCAAAATGCCAAAACTTTGACAAAAATTCGTTTTCTTAGACTTGCTCCCCCTTTCATCTTCATGAATTTACTAATCACTTGTGAAATAGCATAATCCTTATAATCCCCAAATAATCTTTTCCTTAAACTGATGTCAATTACCTTACGACAAATTCAACGTATATTACTGCAGGGTGCAACATCGTCGTAACTTATTACCGCGAAGCATAACATCACTGTAATGTAATACTGCCGAACTTAATATCGACGTAATATTGCAGGGCATAACAGAGGCAAACCTCGTTTCTGAAACTCCACAGTGTACATAAAAGCAACAACTTTTCCGAAGACATTTCGCTTTAATATATCTGTCTTCAACTCTTCTATTTTGGCCCCGAATACACGACTAATCAAATCAGGTCTATTTTGTGCCTCATCAGTTGATGACAAATGATCTTCTATGAGCTAGAAGTTCAAGGAGGATATTCTGCTTAGTAAGACAGTTCGTCGGAAAAGAGTGAATAAAAATGGTGGAATATTGACGAAGAATGAGAGTCGCTTTTTGTGTTTCACCGGATTGAAGGGGAAATCCTACTTCGGGTAGAACAATGACTCACGCTTATTTTGCCACAGATAGTAACTTTTAAGGTTGTTCTTTAAGCTATTGCCATAAATTAAAAATTATTGCACTTATTCAGTAGTGTACCAAAGTAGAGTCTCTCGACGGAGAACAATTTATACACTATAAAGTTTCTTGATCACAGTTAAAAGTTAACCAGTAGATAGTGATCAATTCAGTTGCTTGATCACAGTTATAAAGTTTCAGTATTGTGTAGTGCAATGAAGAATGGCAATGACTATAAAGGCTTAAAAGAATAAGAAGAATTAAAAAAAGAACCTCTTTTGCACGCTCTTGACCTATGACAAATTTATCAAGTCCCTTGCAAATCTCCTTTAGCGTTGGAAAATTTTTTCCCCAAATTAGACCCGCCCCACCCACTCTTCTCCACACTACTTTCATCGGCGCCACCATTTTTACCATCAGGTCCAGCAGCTCGAATCGTACAAGTACTTCTGCTGAAGACATTGAACACTCAAAGACCAATGATGAAATTTATGGTGTTCTGTCATTTATCTTTTGGACAAACCTTGACTCCTCTTTAAAGTATATCAACATTGCGTTTAAAGCTGATGATAATGGTGAAAGAGGCAGATGAGAAGAATCCTCTACTCTCTATTTTTTAGCATTGTGAAAAGTGTAAAAATCAGATTTGTTAGAACTTAATTACAAAATATCTTGCTTTTAGTTCAAGTAAATCAAAGACCAAGAATGCATGGATAGAGTCATAGAGTAATGCCCCATACAGTCTTAGAACTTATGACGCAACTTGTAAATATTTAATAGCATTGATGTTAAATGTGAACACTTAGATTTTTATTTAACTGCGCAAGGTCAAAGGTTTTGCGGTTACACTAAAATTTAAGAGTTTATAGATTGGTACATTCTCTGAGTACTTTCGTGCAAAGCTAGCAACGACTAATTTATTTTGATTTTTGGTATTTTGTCCATTTGAGTTTTATAAATTATTTACTGTTGGTCAAAGTAGCTGAATAGATGATATGTTCTATCCTACGTCTACAAAACACCAATTGATGTTGGCCAAGTGTTGTTGATTTTCTGTGGTTACAAAAAGAATTATGGAGGACAGTGTTCACATTGGCTTATAAGAGTACTGAAATTAACAAGAAACAGTACTTTTAATGGTAGTACTGAACAGGTAATCTTAGTAGGCTTAGTTTCTTTTTGAGCTTCTGGACGGTACCAAGGTGGACCCCAAGGTCTGGGACCAGTATTACAAGGAGTTAGATGAGAGCGAGGTTAGCTAATTATTATTATTATTATTATTATTATTGCATGCTTTACTTTGTTATTATTCGTTGGCATTATGTTTAATTGTTTTGGTTTTTGCTACAGGGTTACGATATATGTGTCTATCCCGGGACCTCTTTTAACTCCTCCATTGTTCCAGTTACCTTACGGACCCGGAGCAAAAAACAAGAATACACTGATATGTGCCGCTTGGCAATTGGAGATTTCAATTCACAAAATGTAAGTGCTTGCCTTATTCTTTTGATTATTATCATGTCAAGCTAATATTGATCGTAATTGACTTTTCTTTTCTTTTTTTTAGGCTAAGAAGTTTGAGTTCATGGAAATAGGTAAACGCATCTTTTGCTGGTGGGTTGTGGCTTTATTTCACCTTTCAAGCCAGGGATAGTGATAGTGACAGTGACTCTGATTCTGACGATGCGATAAAGACCTTTCAAGCATTGGTGTGGGATGAAATCGGTAGAACCCCATGTGTGGACTTTTGCAGGCTTAAGAAACCCTTAATTAATGAAGGTTAACTTTGTACTCTGCATCTTCTATCATGTTCTGTACAGTGCTTTGCATAAAAATCATGCTTATGGTAAGTGGATATAGACTATGATGTGTTGATCTGTCACTCCCTTTAAAAGATTTTTATATACAGTAAATTTTGAGTGTTTCTGCCACTTATTTTTCCCAGATTGTTCTGGTGCAGCAGCCTACACTCCGCTACAAATGATTTGCGTCTAATGTAACCACCTCTTTTAGCAAGACTCTGGCTGTCCCAAAAAAGCAATTTTGTTCAATACTAAATTACTTGGCCTATGACGCTACCAGCTATACACTTATTGTCAAAAATAAGCCTTTCCCCCATTACATAAACCATTACTATTTTATAGATTTGCAAAGCTTAACAAACCCATTTTAAGGACGTAGAAAAATTGAACAAGCCTACAGCAAAAGCCTAAAATTCTTCAGAAAAATAAATACATGTGAATATTATTAAAGCTCTTGAATTGTTACTCTTCTTCATGCTGGGGTGGACTTGACTTCTGTTTCGTTTCTGATTCTTTTTGCTAATCTTACATCGTAGTTCTTTCTCTAAGTTTCATGTTTTCAAACAAGTCGTTTCCTGATAAAGAGGAATTCTTGTTGTATTACACAGGACTAGGAGCAGTTAATTACTTGAGTAACTGCTTTGTATTGATTGATTAGTTTGCATATCTATGACACATATGGGAGAGAGTAAGAATATCAATATTACTTAAAAAGCTCTAAAGTATTTTTCTTTTACCTTTTCTTTATCTTTTACCTTTTCTTTAAACATAAACCATTTAACACAGCAGCTACAAGCGCGCAGCTGCATAGAGGCTCTCCTCCCCATTCTTTGTCTACTGTTTCTTTGCACATGAAATTATGAATATAGTTCAGGTAACTTCAGCCTGTTTATGGAGGAGCTTTCAACTTAAGTCAATATGTGTGACGACCCAAAGGGTCATCACCTGTTTTCTCTCTCATTCCGTGCTTCCGAGGCCTTGAAAACCTCATTTTTACTTGCCTCGATTTGCGTGCGCAATCCGGGCGCGTAGCCGGAAAGCTTAAATATGAATTCTGTGTAAAAATTGATGAATTTTGATATTAATATGGTTAAAGTTGACTTTGGTCAACATTTTGGGTAAACGGACCCGGACCCGTGATTTGACAGCCCCGGAGGGTCCGTAGATATGGACTTGGGTGTATGCCCGGAATCAAGTTCCGAGGTCCCAAGCCCGAGAAATGAATTTTTTGTGTGAAATTGTTTCTGAAAATAATTAAGGAAATTGGAAATGAAATTTGATTAAAAGACTGTGGTATCGGGCTCGTATTTTGGTTCCGACGCCCGGTACAAGTCTTATATACGGCTTAAGTACTTTCTGTAAAGTTTGGTTGAATTTGGACGTCGTTTGACGTGTTTTGGACTAAAAACTCTAAACTTGATGTTTTATAAAAATTAGAAGGAAATCATGGGTCTTGAGGCCTAATTTGATGATAATGATGTCGTTTTAGCGATTTGATCGCACAGATGAGTCCGTAGGATGATTTTTGAGTTTATATGGATGTTCGGCTTGGAGCCCCGAGGGCTCGGGTGAGTTTCGAGTAGGTCCCGGGAGGTCTTAGGCTAGAAATATCAGATGGTTGCAGGTTCAGGGAGTTGCAGGCCCCCAGCGCGCCCGCGGTCGATTCCGCGCGGTCCGCGCGGACGCGTTGCATTCTTGCGCGGTCCGCGTGGCTAGGTTCAGAGGGCCAGTGGTTCAAGTCGAATAGCGCGGCCGCGTACCAAAACAGTGCGGTCTGCGCTGGGTGGGTTCAGAGAGGGTAGATTACCAACTTCTCAGCGCGGCCGCGGTGCACTTTCGCGCGGTCCGCGCTGAGCCTTTCAGAGAGGTATATAAGGTCGGAATTTTCAGTCATTTTTCACTATTTTTAAAACCCAAAACACAAGAGGCGATTTTCCAAACGATTCTTCTTCTCCAAAACGATTGGTGAGTGATTTCTAACTCTTTTTCTTTACTCCTTAACATCTTTAAACATAATTTCAAACTTCAAAACAAAGATTTTAATGGGGAAATTGGGAATTTAGGGTAGAACCTAGATTTTCTAAAATTGGGGGTTTTGGACCTCAATTCGAGGTCCGATTCCAAAATAACCTACATATTTGAGTTCATGGGGGAATGGGTAATCGGGTTTTGGTTCGAACCTCGGGTTTTTACCACGTGGGCCCGGGGGCGTTTAGGGAATTTTTTGAGTAAAACTTTGGGAAATTCATTTTCATGCATTCAAATTGATTCGATTAGCATTTGTTGATACATTCAAGTAATTTGTGACTAGATTCGAGCGGTTTGGCGGTGATTTCGAAGGGTAAAGCTATACTAGAGGCTTGAGTTGAGTTTGGAGCGTTTGAGGTAAGTGTTTGATCTAACTTTGGCTTGAGGGAATAGGATTAGAGTATTATTTGCTAATTGCTAAATGTGGAGTACGGTGTATAGTCATGGTGACGAGTATCTATATCCCGGTGTCTAGCATGACCGTGAGTCCTTATTTGTGCTTATTTGGGATTTTGTGGTGACTCTTCCTTGTTTACTTGATGGTTGCTATATAATGTGAACAGTATGAAGGGGAAATATGACCTGTAAACTCCTTTGAGCGTTGGCTCGAATTATGACTTGGTTAGGAAGTAAGAAATGAACGAAAGAGAAAGAGATGTAATTATTCCCTTGCCGGGACGTGTAAGTTATTGTCGTTGCTCCCTTGCCGGGAACTAGCTGTTTACTTGTATTCTCCCTTGCCGGGATAGTTGAATTGATTCTTGTTCCCTTGCCGGGAAACCACTTATATATTATGAAATGGGATCGTGTGGCACGCCGACCACTTATATATTATGAAATGGGATCGTGTGGCACGCCGACCACTTATATATTATGAAATGGGATCATGTGGCACGCCGACCACTTATATAACATGAAATGGGATCGTGTGGCACGCCGATCACGTATTCTGTGTTTGAAGAGATCAGTTGCAGTTTTCCTTATTTATTCCTACCGTTCTATTTTATCTGTTATCCCCAAAAGCATGTTCCCTCCCAGTCTTAATTATACTTCCCGCTGTTATTCTTGTAGTGTTTGTATGTATATATATATATATATATATATATATATATATATATATATATATATATATATATATATATATATATATATCTGCATAGGTTATTGGTAGTATCCTGTCTAGCCTCGTCACTACTTCGCCGGGGTTAGGCCAGGCACTTACCAGCACATGGGGTGGTTGTGCTGATGCTACACTCTGTGCATCTTTTTGCATAGATCACAGTACCGGAGTAGGAGCTTTTGGACAGCAGTAGGAGCATTGGGAGCTGACTTCAGTCCAGAGATTCCCGAGGTAGCCTTGCTGACGTCCGCATGGCCCGGAGTCTCTCTTATCCTTGTTTTGTTTGATTTCCTTTGTATCGGATCAGACAGTACTTGTGTTTATTCAGACCTTGTATTTAGCATTCTGTAGGAGTTCGTGAGTTAGTGACTCCAGTCTTGGGTAGAGGTTGTAATTGAATTTTCCGCACTTGTTTTCCGTTTATTTATATTTAGAACTTCCGCTTTTATATTAAATGTCTCATTGCCTTAATATTGTCGGGGTTGCCTAAAAGGTTAATGATTAATTGGCTT